TCTGCTCGAAAATTGCATACCCATACTCAAGAGAGTCCACAGCTCTAACTACAAGGTCTATTTTAATAATTTTGATGCTAGAATACTGTGAAACACTTGTGAGATGTGTTGAATTGTGTAAATATTGTGTATGTGTTACTGGTTAATAACAGATACACTTATGGCACAGCTCAAATTGAAAAAGTTCCAGGTTCGCCTGAAAAAAAGCACTTGTGTTGGAACATTTTTTTTTTAAATAATGCCTGGCTTGGCCTAAAAACACACCACAGTCATAGCACAACACGTTTTACATATCCCCACAACATATTTTACTTCGATTGAGTGAAGCAGGCCAGCGTAAATGGTCATACAAATCTAAATTTTGATTTTCGGAACCAATCCACCAGCAGTAACTATATATTCACTTTTCTTATCACTAAGAGTGTTCAATAATCCTAATAAAGCAGTTTGACACCATTTTGAATAATTTTGAGCAGTTATGAGGTGTCATATCTGTCAATCATAAAAATAAATGCCTCATGTGTGTGTATCTGAGCCTGGTAAGGACTGTGATCGGCAGATTTACTCATGTAACACCTTGGTAGATGCGGGATAGTCCAACGGGAGCCATGCGGGGGTGTTTGAGAATATTCGAGTCTGTTTACTGACTAATAAAATCGCGAAATGCTGGCCCAACCCCCCTCTCTACTTGGTTTGGTCCACCTTGCTGAATACCCTGCCATTTTCTCATTCAGTCTCGCAGCGCATTGATTTCACTCGCAGAGGCGAAGGGTTAGAAGCAGGAAGCAGCTCCTCGAAAATTCAATGGAATAAATCCATTTTTCATCTTCAAAACGTAAGTTTTTTTACCCAATTGTTTTGCTGGTGACATGTGACTGATGTTGGCTTATATATATATAACTTTTGAACGGTTTGAAAGAGAGTAATTTCGACGACGCTGTTCGTCGCGGGGTCGAATCACGGCCCTGCTACATGTGCTCATCCGCCATGTGCGCTGCCTGCTTGTGATGAGAGATCCATACAAAGAGCATAGTTCGTAGATTTTCGGCCAAAATTGTGGCAAATCTTCTAGATATCTTCCAGATATATTAGTTCATGTATAATTGTGTTTGCAGTGTTTACAATGGCTGGTATGATGATGTTGCTCGGACTTTTCCCGTTAATTCGATATTTAATATGTCTGGACCATTTTTGATATTTCTTAATAAAAAGTCCATTCGGAACCACGGTACCACTCTAAACGTTCTCGCTCGTAGCCCAAATGGTCTCCGCTCGGGCTAAAGAGGATAATTGACAATATTTTTCTAAAGAAACACAAAGGCACACTCTCTCACCCGATCACAAGCATTGTCAACCAATCTCTCAGGCAATGTGTGTTTCCGAAAGGATGGAAATCAGCCATCGTAACACCCATTTTTAAGTCAGGAGATTCAACCGATGTCTCCAATTATCGGCCAATCAGTATCCTCCCTGCTGTTTCCAAAATTGCTGCAAAATGTGTTGCAGAGCAACTTATTAAACATCTCAACAGCTCTCCATATCAGCTGCATCCTATGCAGTTTGGTTACAGGGCTAATCATTTGACTGAAACAGCCAACTGCTTCCTCTTAGAAAATGTGAAGCTTAAAATGGATAAAGGGGGTGTAGTAGCAGCGTTTTTTCTTGACCTGAAGAAGGCTTTTGATATGGTTAATCACAATGTCCTGATTAATAAACTGTCAAATTTTAACTTTTCCCGAGAGTCTCTTGCCTTGCTGAAATCCTACCTTGAAGGAAGAACCCAGTGTGTCAGAGTGGGTGATGTTTCATCATCTACTCTAATATCTAAGGTGGGAGTACCCCAGGGTTATATTTTAGGACCTTTATTATTCAGTTTATATATTAATGATTTGCCGGGTGTCTGCGATGGGTGTGATATTCAAATGTCACTGGAGCCAGATGTTTATGTTGCTGGTGAGAGGCTACAGGTAGTGTCAGATTTTAAATATTTAGGACTTTTTATTGATTCTAATCTCTCTTTTAAAAAACAGGTAAAACATGTGACAAAGGTCTTAAAATTGTATCTCATGAATTTTAGATATATAAGACACTGTCTAACCATGCAGGCTGCAAAATTGTATTTTAATGCAATGATTATCCCCCATCTGACCTACTGCTTAACCAGCTGGGCACAAGCCAGCAGCACAACATTAAAATCCATTCATATTCCCCATAAACAAGCCCTAAAAACACTTGATAAAAAACCAAAAGTCACCATCACTGCAATATTCTCACCAAACACCATATCCTGAGTTGGGAGAACATCATTAAATTCACTGATGTGTGTCTGGTTTTCAAAACTTTACATGGTATGGCCCCGCCTCCGCTTAGTGATTTTATTAAGCAAAGCACTCAAAGCAGCAGACTCACTAGATCTGCTTCAAGAGGTGATTGTGTAATTCCACATAGGTCAAGCTCGTTTAGGAAATCTACATTCTCTGTGAAGGCAGCTCACTCGTGGAAGGCTCTGCCATCACACATACGCACACAAAACACGTACAAAACATTTAAGCATAACTTTAAGGAATGGCTTGTTGCCAATCAGGCGTGCAAGCATTGATGTGCCTTCTGTCCTGCCTGCTTGTTTCGCCTATATGTGCATTTGTCTTGTTCAGTGTTGCTATTTTCCATTTTTTTGATGTGTATGTTATGTGCTTCAGTGTTATACTGTATATGTGCTTGTACTGTAGGTGGGTTTGTTCTGCCTGACGCATGCTGCAGCTTGTTATGTCTGCTCTGCTTTAATGTCGTACACTTTTCTTTTGCTGTCTATACGTTGCTGTCCGTTTGTCTATGAATTTTAATTCCGTTTCAATTTGAGATTTTGTTTTTTCAGGCTGCCTTGAAACATCTGGCTGGGGACAGCAGATGGAAATTAGCCTCTCTGGCTAACTGGCTCACTTACAGTGCAACTGTTGATTGGTGTGCATTGTCCCTGAAAGAAAAAATAAATAAATACATAAATAAATAGGAAATAAAAGTTTACTAACTGCTTTTAAAAATGTTCAAATAATATTTACCCTTTCGAGGGACAAGAAACAAAACAACAATAACACACTACAGCAGACTCAGTGTATAAACAGAATACTTAACTTTAAACACAAGTGGGCCCACAAACACTCACTCACACAAAATAAGAAAGTTGCAGGCCTGTGTAGCTCAGGTGCAGTGCTGCCTCCCGAATCCGTATCCTCAGCAGAGCAAAAACACAAAGTCTAAAAGTCACAGTTCAGCGTCAGTCAGAAAAACTGTTTGTTGTCCAAAAGGTGAAACACGGAGGTGACGGCAGCTGCGGTGAAGTCCTCGTCAGAAACACACCAACCGTCCTGTCCAGTCAGCAATGGCGTCCTCTTGTCAGCGACTCAACAGCTTTAACTTTAACTCAGAACACACTTGCACAACAACTCTCAGGTAAATGTACTGAGATCAAGCAATCAATGTGCCGTGCTGTCCACAGCTAACAAGTTTTTTCTCTAACCTAAACATTCAACAAACTATCTACCCTCGCATTTCTCTGGCATTTTTCCCGTTTTTTATTTACTCCGCTCTCCTCTCTCTCCTCCCTTCGTGCTTCTTTTCTCTTCCCGCTTCTTCTCCGTTGTTTTTCTCTTAACCTCGCCCTCTCCTACAACCAATTCCCGCAGGTGGGGATGAATGACACCTAAAATAAGCAATCAAACAACATAGCTCAAACTGAAGGCACTATCAGTGTTTTTTTCTGTTTTTAACTCTCACTTAGTTTCACCCATTGTTTGCCGTCAATATTGTTTAGAGGTGTTTATTAATTACTTATTCAACTTTTTACATCCTACTTTATTTAGAACTAAATTATCTTAATCACTAAGTAAACTACATTCTTTATTAAACTAAATTACTTTCAGTTTAATTTCCTTACTAATTCTTAACTTTTACACCAGGGCTAAACAAAGGAGGGTAAAACAGACCCCCGCTAACTAGTGAGTCAAGACATCTGCCTCTTTACAACAACATTCATCATTTCAATCAGTAGAGACAAGTCGGATAAAGAAAAGATCATTGTTTATTATTAACAGATGATAGGTGATGATAAAGTCTTGACAGAGTCTCTGGAGCTTAGACTCTACAGGGAGATTTGTAATGGAGGGGCGTCTGCTCTGAGCAGCAGCAAGATAACAACGTTAATTGTTAATTTCTCTTTGAAAGGGTGTATTATTTTGTCATATTTTCATTATATCAGTGGCATTAAAGGTTCTTAAAATGACTACAATATTGTTCATCGCAATTATTTCTGGGACTATATGTTGTCCAATAAAAGCAGTTGTTGTGAGAGGCTTCCTTGTGGCTTTAGAAGGCTAATCACAGCTGTTCCTCCTTTCTTAGGTGGCACATTGTACCGCTGTCCCCTCTTTGTGTATGTAACTTCTTGTTATGGAAGCTGAAAATGCAAGTCGCTTTGGACAGACCACCCATTAAACCTCTTGTGTTTTACTCAAAAAAGGGTAATTTTGCTAAAGCCTGACAGCAGCAGTGCTGACAGAAGTACCTGTGTAGCATTACGCCGAAGAGTCATCTCATGATGTTTTATAATCTAGAGACAGTCTGACACATAGATTCTCTGCACTACATGCCAGCTCCTCGCCGTTCCTGCCAATATGTGTACTTTTCATCACATGTATATAGGTGCTTGCGTTTATTTCCTGGCTTTATGGCTGGCACATGCAGAGTCACAGTCCCCTATGGGGCCCATCAGCTGTGCAAGGGAGGCAAGCTGTAGCTTCCAAGCTGTCTCCCATTTGCTCCAGAACACGCCGGTACAAAGTCTGGGTTCAGGACACTCTCACAGAGTGGTGGTGTAATCTTCTTGACTGGTAGCATACGATAGCGGCCACCCACGAAGCGGCTTTGCAGATCAAAAAAAAGCCGGGATGCACTGCTTATGTGGGGCTCAATGGTTAACTGCTGCACTTGTTTTGTCTCCACAGAGCAGCCCGAGCTTTTGGAGAATACCTGTCCAGTACCAATCCAGAGAACCGCAACAGAGCAGGTAGGTGATCCACTGAAATCCACACTGAAACCACCAGCCAGTACAGCCGCATTGTAGCGGTAAATGTCTGCCTATTTCTCCGGTAAGTAAATATCATCCACGAAATTAGGGTTGGCTGGAGGAAAAATCTTTAAATATGCTGAATGAGCAAAACATCATCAAAAGCAGCCGTTGGTAATGAAAATGTTAGATCTCAAGCTCCCTCCAACAATGCTCGTTAAATACGTAAAAATTTGAATCTACGACATTAAATGGTGCAGAAGTTAAAATATAGGGATAATGATCATTCACTTTTGATTTCACACATAACATGAACAGCAGTTTCCTGGGTGAGAGTCCTGTGTTTGACCCATCCATCCACAATAACCTCCCCCCTTCGTGGACTTTGATCAAAATGTATTTCTGTCAAACCGCGGAATGTGTGTCCGTTTGTTTCCGTGGTGCCGGCACTTCATTTGAACCCATTACGTGCCTCCACCATGTAATGCGCTGGTTAGAAGTTGTTGTTGTTCCATGTGTATTTTGTGAGATCAGGCAACGTAGCGTGAGGAAACGAGCTTTCCAGCTGCAGTAGTTCACCAACTAGCCCCGCCAGTTATCATTATGTTACAAAGCCTGGGGATGCACGGATGAACTTTGCTGTGCCACTGTTGTTTATCCACAGCACAGATAGCATGAAAAAAAACACTGCCTGTAGCATTGCAGCTGCTCATTCTCTGAGAAGGAGCATCCATCCTCTATGACCGCTAAGGGCCGGAGTTTTTTTTTTTATTCCTCAGCTCATCCATTTCCAAATCTTTCATCAGTCCTCACCTGCTTTTTATTATCACTCAGCCACCTCTCTTTCCTTTCTCATCCTCCCAAGAGCTTTGCTGGCTCGTTAATGTTTACCGCTCTCCTGCCAAAGCTATGAATCACAAACAAACAATCTCTCTGTTCATTTAATTTGAGGTGTTTATCCGTATGAATTACAGACACGATCATTTATCTCCATCTTCTAACTTTTTCTTCTTTCTATCTCCAGATCACCTTTTGTCTGACACCTTCCCCAGCCAGGACTGTGACTCCCCAGGCGTCAGCCACCTGTGTAACAATAATCTGACACCACAGATCCACTGCTTACCCATAGCTAAACCCAACCAGTCCAGCCAGTCCAATCCCAGTGCTCATCCACAGTCTCAGCCTCAGGGAAAAACCCTCCAGGCTCAAGCACCTTTGTGCCCCTCCAAACGTCGACTCTCTGCCGGGCGCTGCCTCTCCACGGAGGACCCGCCTGGGGCCCGAGGCCCAGAGGAGAGCGCGGTGCTGAAGCCGGCCAGGGTGTACACCATCTCCAGGGAAGGAGGGATGACCCTGGGGGGCCGAAGCAGTGAGGAGAGCCTGGAGCTGGAGGTGCTGAAGGGCTCCAGGGAGCAGCCTCCGTCCCAGGCCCCGGCCTCAGCCAACCACGAGCCATCTTGCACCAGCCAGCCGTCCGCCACAGTTGCCCGCGGCAGCCATCACCGTAGCAGCCATCATCGCAGCAACCATCACCACGCCCACCAACATCACGGGGGCCCGCCGGCGTCGCAGCCGCTGCAGAGCTCGGGGAGCGCAAACAACATCCGGGACTGGGGGATGAGGAGAGGGGGGTTGCGGGAGGACGAGACCCCAGACTGCGTGACCTGCATTCGGGCTCCGTGTCAAAGCCAGCGCTCCCTGGACCTGGACACCTCACCGCAGGATGGAGGGAAACCCCGCAAGAAACTGGAGAGGATGTACAGCGAGGACAGAACGTCTACTGATGACAGGGGTAAAGAAAGACGATACGTACAATTTGTAAAGTAAGAGGTGTGAAAACCGATGCCTACGCTAAATATTACAAGGGGAAAAAAACAGTCAAACAAGGTCTTTTTTTTGGGCCAATTCACCCTCAGATGTTTCACTTCACACGAGCCTCCTCCACTAATTGTAACGCTGTGCTCGCTGATACCACGCCTTGCTTTTGTGTTCTGTGTTTGCAGAGGACAATCCTAATAGCTGGTTCCCCAAAGAGAATATGTTCAGCTTTCAGACAGCCACCACCACCATGCAGGCGTGAGTATGGCGTGGAATACCGCCTTCACTCCCACTCTTGCCCATCACAGTGACTTAATGTTGGCAGGATATGGCTCGGCCTTTTCCTTCCAAGACTGGCAGCAAAAAAATGTAGTCTTCCACGACAAACATTTTAATAAGCGTTCACACATTTCTCACTTGTTGGTTTCACATTCAAGCCTTTTCAACTTGTTATCATTCCACTCCTGTTATTCCCCTTTTATTTTCATCTCTGAGTGATGGAAGTCATTGGTTGCTGCAAATTATAGTTTTCATTTGATGAAGTATACTTTATATAATTTAATAAGAATGTTGATTTTCATGTTTGAAATAGTTTTTTTTTTTTAACTTCTTCTGTGTATGATAAAACAAGTTGAATTGACTTTTCATTTAAATTTAATTTATTGCATGGAAATGGCTCTTTTCAGGACTTTGGAAGATTTCTCAAAAGAGGTTTGGGAGAAATTCCCTTTCATGAAAACATAATCAAATACCATTTTATTTTTAAAATTTGGCCTGCAAAGTGCCAATTTGAAAATGAAATCTAATTTTTAATACTTTTTTATTATAGTGATGCATGTAGTACACAAAAAAGTGTTTTTTATTTTCTGTTATTATTAATATTATTTAATGGCTGCCACAGACTTCCACACTGATCACCTTGGTCAACTTGAAAAATAGCAAGTATTGGTAGCAAAATGTCAGTGTATTTGATCCTGAACAAAACCTTCTCTCCCTTGCAGATACCACATTAGATCACACTGTTGGATTCATCAGTGCGTACTGAAACATCTAACACAATGCACAGCATTATTCTACACACAAGACAGAACAATGAGATGATTTACTGAACCACTTCAAATGAATATTACTCTGTGGATTCTACTGAAGGTTTTCAGATGACGGCATGAATGTTATTTCACTGGCTTTTCTAACCTTAAAGGCCTGGTCGCATCAGAGAGCGGTACAGCGAAATTCATCTACTCCTCTTAATTAGATATTTGGTTGTAGAGGCTCTTACTCCATGCAAACTATTGCTCTTTTGTGGAGCTGTTTATTATGACGTCATATTCGGATCAATATAGGTTAATATAAATAGTAAATACAGAGCCGGGGGACAGGGGTAATATTACGAAGAAAAAACTCGACATTTCTAAAATTAGAGGCGCCAAGCTTAAAATATAAAAAAGCATTTAAATTTCCTCTCAACAGCTCTCAACATGGTGCCAATTGAACCCGCTGTTGCAGCTAATGAAGCTAACAGAGCTAACAGCGCAAAAGACGCCCACAGTGCTGATAGAACTAACAGTGTTTTCCTGTTAAAGTTGTAAATATATTTTTATATATATATATATATATATATATA